ATATATATCAGCTCCTTCAGGACATTCTGGCTATGGCTTTTGGTATTACTGCACCTTTTTAGCATTTTTGTTCTCATTAAAAGGTATGTCTTCATCATCCTCATAATCGTTCAAAATACTTAAACCTTTCCTGCACTTTACACCTTTTGTTCTGGATCTGTCATGTTTTTACATTGTTGTGCTAATTTTAGCTTTTGTTAACTCTCTTTCTGCTCTTTTCTTTTGTTGTGATTTAAAAAAATGTCTGTGCTTCTTTCTGTTACTTTTAGCTTTTTATGCTTTTTCCAGCTGCTTTTTTTTTTGCAATTCAAGCAACTTTTTAAGCAAATTTGAACCTTTTTCAGCTAAATTCAGTTTTTGTGATATTATTCTACTTCTTTCAGTTGCTTATAACCCAGCAAACATGCTCTTTTTGCTTCTTTGTGCTTGATTCAGCTTGCTTTTTCAGCTACATTTTAGCTACTTTTCTGCTATTTTCAGCTTTCATTTTTGCTATTTTACAACAAATTGCTAAATATTTGACATCTTTCCTTTTTTTCTGTAAAAATATTTCAGCATTAAGCCTTCACGTTGCAAAAATGGCTAATTTTCTAATTTGTTTTTTTGATCATATTAACAAATATTTCACATTACTGTGCACATCTCACTGACCGATCTCCAAGTCATTAAGGTCCGTGATGCTGTCCAGGATAGCCTGGATCTCAGGGTAGTCCAGCAGTGTCTCTTTCAGGGATGTAAGTGATGACCTCACTTCCTGTAAGAACTCTGACCCCGTCGCCGCGCTGGGGTCTGTACCTCCCTTCAGAGTCAATTCCACAAATCCCTTCACAGCTTCAGCGAAGGCCCCGCCCTTCCTCTCACTCAGCTCCTGCACCCGATTGGTCAGTCTTTTCTTCTGGGACACCAGCCCCCCCAGCGCCTGACCCACAGCCGACAGACGGTTTATGACTTTATTGGCCAAACGGTTTGGCGGCAGAGAGTGGGATGAGGGGCTCGGGATGTGGGATTCCTGCTCCTCCTCTATACTGCTGATCGACAGTGAATCCAGCTCCAGTGACGGAGGATGGAGTAATGACAAGGGTCTGGGTGGAGGCAGCCAGAACCCATCTTCAATCCAGGACACCCGGTGAGGAGACTGAGGCACAGGGCTACTGTGTCGATGCAGCTCAGGTGTGTTGCTTCCTGGGGTAGGGGGAGCAGAATAACTCCCTGTGCTCGCTCTTTGAGGAAAGCTGTTGGGAAAATCCCTGCTGGGCCTCCTCAGGACCACTCCTGTTGGTGTCGTTGGGGTGGAGGAGGATTCGGCTGACTGGGCTCTTATCAGACCTGTAGAAGAAAAACATGGCAAACAAACACAAAGTTGTCTAAATGTCTAAAATAACTTCTCACTGCACGAGGAAAAGTTTGAAGTTCTGACCTGAGCTCTCTGGGTCGACAGCAGCGGGTTGCTGCTCCAGGGACACGGCTCGCTTGTTTTGTAGCCCCGACCCTGCCCATGCTCGGGTGGTGCTGAGGCGGCGATCCCGTCTGTAATTTGATTGTTGTGTGGTTGTTGTTCTGTGAGTCAGCCAGTCATCTCCGTGGTCACGGAGGTAGAGTGGATTTATGATGCACAGGGCCCCATTGGTGGAAGTCAGCTTGGAAAAACACCAGCAGAAATAACAGTGAGGATGGTGGTACACTGTGAGCACCTTAATGTATCAAAAAGTTAATATTTAATTCACCCTATGTCTCATTTTTGAAGATTCGTTAAGTTTTTTGCCAGTCGGGCAGAGAAGCACACTGTGGAAAAAAATACTAGTGGGCTTGGCAAAGCCTGCAAGTGGAATGTGACTGGCTTTTGCTTTTTGCAAAAATAGAAGGGAAATCTCATCAGGTAGGACAGGTAGGACAGAGTGTCTCAGGTATGACAGAGAGTCTCAGGTAGGACAGAGAGTCACAGGTAGGACAGTATGTCTCAGGTAGGACAGGGTGTCTCAGGTAGGACAGAGTGTCTCAGGTAGGACAG